GCCGGGAGGCCTCAGCAGCAGTTGAACTTCGTTTGGGACTCTACTGGGACACATGCAATGCAGGGTCTGGGACAAAAGGAAGGCTGGATTGAGCCAATACAGACCCAGCGAGGAAGTATAAAAGAGGCAGCCAGCCTCATTCCTAGGCAGATCTCCACTGGCTGCCAATGCGTGGAAGTGCTGGTGCACTTGTGCGCTGAGTCAGGAGGAGCAGCGCTGGAGGAGAAGATGCGMTGGAGGAAGGAAGATGCCTGTATGCTGGAAGTGATGCAGCCATARCTGCCCAGCGAGTTGGCATTAGAAGTAGAGGGTTAGTATGTAGCTATGAGTAGTATCCAGAGTAGATCCTCATGAGTATTGAAGAGTGTATATGYATCATAAGAGGAAGGGATTGAGGCTGAGAGTGTTCATTCAAGGTTGGCTATGGAAGATACTTACCTGAGTTGGATGTGATCTGCAGAGGTGGCATTGATGAGTGGTGACCACATTGATGACTTGGAGACTATCTGCAGGGGTAGCACTAATTCACTGGAAGGCATATTGATGAGTTGGCAAGATATTGGTGTTGCGCTGATGAGCGCTGGACTCAGGGAAACTTTGAAACACTTTGTATCCATATTTTTGATAATATAAGCTGTGAAACTCGGTTCTCATCTTCTCTACCTATTATCAGACTACTGTTCGTTGTGCGTGGGAGAACGATGCATGGCATGTACACACTTGCGTGAGATGGTCTCCAGGACCCATGCAGAAGAGTATAATATAAAAAAGAAGGAAGAAAGACCCCCTCCCCCCAGTGGTTGTGGAACTCGGAAACCTCCCCTGGCGCCATTTTTCCAGACTGGCCCTGTGGGTAGAATGACCAAGAAGTTTAATAGTAAAAAAGGTTAAAAAAACAAAAAACAACAAAACGGACCCCTCCCCCTCCTACCCCCCAAAAGAAAGAGAAAAAGAAAAAAAGAAAAAAAAAGGAGGAAAAAAAGAAAGCTGTTAAGTGGCCAGTGAACTCAAAAGCCTACACTTTTTCAGATAGACCCTGTAGAATTATAAAAAAGCTGTAAAAAAAAAAGAAAAAAAAAAGGAAAAAGAAGAGGAAAGAGAGAAAGCACGTGGCTCTGAACGCAGGAAAACCTGGAGTCTTTCTTTTTCTTTTTCTTTTTTCTTCTTCTTTCAAAGCAACAGTACCATACTTGGCAGCGCATCTCGTGTGCGCAAGTTCCACACGTGCGGCGGCGCATAGCGCACACTCACGCATGCGCGCTCACGTGATGCGGCGCACCCCCTCACGTATGCGTGCTCACGTGGCGCACCCTTTTAATAGGGTTCAGCAAAAAAAAATCGAGAAGGGCAGGGTGTGGTGGCCAACGTGGCCCCCCTCCCTTTTACAAATTCGAAGTGCAAAAAAAAAACAAAAAAAAAACGGGGCTGCTTCATACCCCAAAGCTGTGTGTGCATGTGTGTACGTGGGAGTGCACATCCTCAGCGCGCATTAAGTCTCTTTTTCAAAGTCCCCTGCAGCAAATCTGCGAGGACCCATTTTCCAAGCAGAGACAGGCATTGAATCTACAGCAGTGCACGAACGGGCCAACAATATGTGCTGCGGATTCGAATTCAGGTCTGTGTTCGATCGCGCACTAGGGGAGGCTGCTTGTATCATATCACCTTCCCTCGCGGCGCTGGTCTGGCTTTCCTGTACTTTTTTTTTTTTTTTTTAAAGGTCTGTGTTCGACAGGGATGGGTTATTAACTCAGCAACGCCCTGCTGGTCTCTGCACATGCAGCATGGCCATCAGAGCCTCAGTCCACTAGTCACGACATGCACAAACGACCAAACATATGGCGGCGTATAGTTCCATGTTCTAGCAGAAGATTCATTCTAATTTGCACATTCGTTTGGTGAGTAGTGGAGCAAAGCTCTGAGAATCACGTGCAGAGACCTGAATTCGCATCTAGTGCCCTAGGTAAGTTAGTAACCCATAACTGTTGAATCAGAGGCCTGAATTCGAATCTAGGGGCCTTCTGAAATAATGGTAGCCCTCTTTCACTTGACTGTAATAAGTTCCATGCCCTTGGGTGCTCGTTCAGGGGGGGGGGGGGGGGG